TTTTTTTTTTTTAGTTTTTTTTTTTTTTTTTGCCATAGGGAGTACTCATTTGCCAGAGAGACAGAGAGCAGGAAAGTGAGAAATCACCCGTCAGGGGAGATGGCCACCCTGCAGTCCCTTCTCCATCCTCCTCTTGGGATTTTGGGTACACATACACACATTTGTGCCTGGTGTGTTTCAAGCTGCCAGATCTGGGATTTGAACTATGGTCAGCCATGTGGGAGTCCAGTGCCTTACCCACCACCCTCAAAGGACTACATTTTGTAAATGTCCATCTACAGACTGGGCAGTAGCACAGCGGTAAACCGTGATGCTCTTGAGGCTGTGGCGGGAAGGCTTGTGTTTTTGTCTGCACACCTCCCTGAGTGCGTCAGGCTCGTTAACCCATCATCCAGGCTAGCTGGAGCTGGCGGGTAGACTGTGGCATCTACTTGGCATTCTTGGAGGTGCTGTTCTTCTGTCTTTCTCTCTCTCAGGTCCAGCAGGTGGCATGGTGGTTAAGGCACTGGACCTCCCACGCAGCTGACCATGGTTCAAGTCCTGGACCTAGCAGCTTGAAACTCATATCAGGAATATGTGCGTGCATGTCCAAAATTCTAAGAGAATGGAGGAGAAGGGATTGTGATATGGCCATTCCCCCTGTGGGGGGTGAGGGAATGATTTTCTCACTTTCTGTTTCTCTCTGTGTCCCTGGCGAGCACACAAAATCTCTCTCTCAAATAAAAAAATCTGTCTCTCTCTCTGTATGTCTCTTCCACTTGTAGAAGAGATACACTTAAAAAAATCAACTCAGTACTACACTAGGTCTGTATATTATTATCATATTGCACCATCTTGTTTTTTCACTCGAGACCCCGTGAAAATCACAAACAAAAAACAGTTCTTGTAATCAGTTGTGACGTGACTTGACCACAGAGAGAAAAACCAATCATAAACGCTGTTTTGTATGAATGTGTTTATCCTTTCACTCAAATCCCTACTGTGTTGAACGAGTACATCTATACCTTCAGCCTTCGGCATTTGTGGATGCAACCAATTGTGGGTCCAAAGAATTTGGAAAAAAAAAAAGAATGTCCAGAAGATTCCAAAGAGCAAAACTTGACATTGCTGTGTGCCGAGTACTACACTGAATCCATGCGAAGGAATAGAGACGGTATTGGGGATCATTACTCTTCTAGATAGGACTTGAAGGATGAGGTTGGCTACATGCAGTATTACACCATTTTGCATAGGGACCTGAGCATCGTTGGGTTTTGGTACCTGTGGGGGAGGCCTAGAACCAATTCCCAGGGGACTCCGAGGGACAACTAGGTCACGCAGTGACAACAATACATCGAGGTATCGTTTCTTGACTATTCCAGAATGTGTCCATCACCATGTTGAGTGTTAAACTTCTCTTGACTCATTTAAACCTCCCTTAAATGTGGCTATGGTAGCCCTCGTTTTATTTTTTTTTGCTAATGACTTCTTACTTGCTCTTTATTATACATGGGTTTTATTTTATTTATTTTTTTAGAGAGAGATTTTTGCTAAAGGGCACGTGTGCTCACCGGAGAGACAGAGCGAGAGACAGAGATAGAGAGAAATCACCCCCCGAGGCAATGGCCACACCACAATCCTTTTTTCTCCACTCTCCTCTGGGGATTTTGGGCACACACACATGTGCCCAGTGTGAGTTTCAAGCCTCCAATCATTGCCCAGGGGTGAAGGACCAACTTCTGTCACATGGCAAGGTCACAGTTCCTAAAAGGTCCGCCCGCATTCCCTTCCCACTCTCCTGCTACTATGGAGACCATGAGGCTGCTTCTAACGTGCTGCCCTAAGACGCCCACGGTGCTTTTGCAAGCTTACATCGATCTGCGTATTGTCCTCCTTCAGGCTACCTGGTCCATGCTTGGCTTTTCATTTGAACGTTGTTCAGCAAGGCTCTACAATCCTTCATCTAATCAGATCGATCCTCAATAAAAAGTCTCCCCTGCGCTCCCTTTTTCTGTATGAGCACTGTACAACACACCGCAGGTGCTAGGCCAGTTTCTACGTGACTGTGGGAGTCCTGAAGGGAAGTGGCCTCGGCCACGCTCAGCCCTCGGTGACGGTCATACCTTGGGGCTTGATGCGTACGTCCAGGAGAAGTACTTAGTGTCCTCCCCTCACAGCACAGTGAAACTATGACACGCTTGACAGTGACCTGGAACCTCCGGAAGTGTGGCAGAGTCACAGAGAGCCAGCCACGTGTGCTAAGCCTACGACCCCGTGAGCAAGGCCAGGAGCGCAAGGAGCATTTTCAAAGCACACGTACCATCGTGTAATTGTGAGCCACCTTGTGCAAATCTGTACAGCCTTGGGCGTCGGCGAAAGAGCGGATGCCGAGGCAGTTGGAGGGGTGGAGCTGCTTCATCAGGAACTTGCAGCACGCCTCCACGACGTGCGAGAGCTGCAGGAGGCAGGCCGTGGACAGCAAGCACTCGATGTTCTCTTCCTTCAGCTCCAGGCGGCCTGAGGGTGGACAGAGACCCCATTACCTGTGGAGCTCCGTCAGTCTCACTTTATACAATGGCTGACGCTGGGGCCAGCAGATGGCGTAATGGTTACGTCACTGGACTCCCATGTAATCGGTTTGAGACCTGCACCCGGCGGCTTAAAACTCCTGCCAGGCGTGTGTGCGTCCGTGCCAAAATCCCGAGAGGAGAATGGAGGAGAAGGGATTGTGGCATGGCCATCCCCCCGGGGGGTGATTTCTTGCTTTTTGTCTCTCTGTCTTTCTGGTGAGCATATGTACCCTATAGCAAAAATCTCTCTCTAAAACAATAAAATAACTGATGTTAATGGTAATATTTCTAAATAAGAGCTCATTACATGCACTATGGACCTGGGTGGTTTAAGACATTCAAAAAAAAGCATGAAACATAGAAAATAATTATTAGCTTTTTGTGACTCCTACTAAAGTAGAAAATAAATGGCTTATTTTCAGAAAAAAAAAACTTAAACATTTATTTATTTGTTGTGATTATCAAGCCACCGGGTATGGGACTCGAACCACAGTCAGACGTGTGGGAATCCAGTACCTTAACCACCACACCACTTGCTGGCCCCTATTTTTTGAATTTTTAAATCGCGTGTTAATTAGTAAGTTATAGCTATTGTATATAAGGCCCATATTTTAAATGCAAAAATTTGACATTACCTAATAAACTAAATATGTATTAGTTCATATATGTGCTAGTATATTTATGATGTATATATAGGGCATGCACACTCACCAGAGAGAGAAAGAGAAAGAGAGAGAGAGATAAGGTGAGATATCACCCACCAGGATGACCATGCTGTGGTCCTCCCTCCATTCACTTGGGATTTGGGGCAGAGACACACATGTGCCCAGGGCCTGATTTTCAAGCCACCAGGTTCGGGACTTGAACCACGCTATTGACCACATAGAATCCAGCCACCCTAACTTCCATGCCACCTGCTGGACCCATAATAATTACATTAGTATTTAAAAGTACCATTCGAGGGGCCAGCACATGGCATAGTGGTTACATGGCTGGACTCCCAGAGTTTTGAAACTCATGCCAGGCATGTGGGCATGTATGCCCAAGGTTCTGGAAGGAGAAGGGACTGCAGCGTGGCCATCCCCCTTGAGGGGTAATTTCTCACTTTCCCTCTTGCTGTCTCTGCGTCTGTCTCTCTCACCAGTGACTCCACTTAAAAAAATACTGTTTGGGACCAGCAGTTGGCATAATGACTGTTGCTGGACTCCCATGTAGTCAACCGCGGTTTGAGTTCCGGACCTGGTGGCTTAAACTCACGCCGGGCGCGTGTGCGTGCGTGCCCAAGATCCTGAGAGGAGAATGGAGGAGAAGGGATTGCGGGGTGGCCATCCCCCCTGGGGGGTGATTTCTCTCTTTCTGTCTCTATGTCTCTCTTGCCCTTCTGGCGAGCACACACGCCCTATAGCAAAAACCTCTCCAAACAAACAAACAAACAAACAACAACAACAAAAAACATTCAAAAACTCAGCTATGACAACCATTTAAAGGTTTTCCTAAGATTTTAGTCTCCAAAGGAGTGGTAGTGAAAACAGCTGAATGAGGCTAGCCACGGCCTCCTCGATTAAAAGCAGACATCTGCAATTTAATACTCCAACATAAACCTAGGAGGTTTTCATTGCCACCCTGAGACCGAGTACCTGTGTACGCGTACTGAATCAAGGACCACAGCGAATTCGGCTCGACGCCTTCCATCTTCACCTCTTCCTGTCTTGCTTCTCTAACGTCATTAGTAAACATGGCGGCGAAATAATCCGAGACGGAGGACAACACCAATCTGAAAACCCATCAGGAAAGAAGAATCAACGCCCGCAGTAAAGCGGATGCCCATTAACGAGGGCTGCTGCTGCTTTTCTCCTTGGCACCCACAGAGCGCGTGGTCCTAGTCTGACAGATTGCTTTATGCTCCACTTCCTTCCTTTGAATAATAAATGACTATTACTGACCACTTTCTGCTGACGTAAATGACCTGCCTGCCTACTACTGAAATATCACCTTGGAACATTCAGGAAAGAAGCAGGAAGCCCATAGCGTGAACTTGACTGTATGTTTAAAAAAAAAAAAAGTGAAGGTTATTTTATAGTTACCGTTTGTTGAAATAAGCTATTTTTTAAAAAAAAATAATTTAATTTGGGATTAGTGCATATATGGGCAACATTTGGAAGTGGTATTTGCAAGTTATTTTAAACTTCCAGGGGGATGGCCACGCCGCAATCCCTTCTCCTCCATCCTCCTCTCGGGATCTTGGGCCACTGCTGCTCTTCATCTGTGCCAGGCACCTGCTCCTGCCACCCCCAGATACCTGCATGACTAAACCCTGCATCTCCTTCACGTCTTCGCCCAGACGTCGCCTTCTGCAGAGACCGTCCATCTGAACTCGCCCTCCGGTGCATGTTCTTCCTCCTCCTGAGAACAGCCGTTTTCTTCCTTCACTCATTCACTGAATGGAGCCCGTGTGTGGTGAGTCAGCACCGGGCAGCGGCCCAGGTGGCCGACACACGCCAGTTACTAAACGGACGAAAGGCGGCTTCCCTCATAGAGTCTCCCATTTTAGGGGCAAAGGAGACAAAGAATGGTAGAAGAACATTCTACAGAGGAGGAAAGGTGGGAACTGCAACGGGGGAAACGCAGAACAAAGCAGATGGGGACTGGAGGGTTGAAAAAGAAAAAAGAAAAAAAAAAACCCTTTGGGACAGAGTGCTAATTAATTATGAAGGGCATTAAAAAACCACTTTGGGAACACAGTAGTGATTAATAATGAAATTGCAATTACCAGGAGAAAATAAACGTTATTAAACCATTCTTTCCCTTTTCTTTCTTGAAGAAAGAATACATCATTTGTGTTAAAGGCTTTTATTCTGTAACCTCGCTTTTTTCACTTCCTGGAGTTAGAAATGAAGCTAGGCATGGCTGTTTTAAAACTCTGAAGAGGTTTTTGCTACTCCATTCCATCAAGCTTGCTGCTTCTAAATAACTACAAGCTCTAATTCCCATTGGGCTTATTTCAAGTTATCAGTAGGTAGACTGGCATGAAAACTTATCTTACTGGAATCCCTCGCCAATACTACTGCCTTTGAGGGGAGTGCGCTCTGTTTTATGTGCTTCTATGGATGGGAAATGGCTCTTTCAGGCCCATTTCGTGTATAATTTCAGATGCACATTTCCTTGATGGAAACTTCATAACATAGATCCCTTTCCCAAAGCATAACAGTCAAGGGACCAGCAGTTGGCATAATGGCTATATCACTGGACTCCCATGTGGTCAACCGCAGTTTGAGTCCCAGACCCGGTGGCTTAAACTCACACTGGGCGCGTGTGTGTGCATGCCCAAGATCCTGAGAGGAGAATGGAGGAGAAGGGATTGCGGTGTGGCCATTCCTCCCCCACCCTCTGGGGGGGGGTGATTTCTCGTTTTCTGTCTCTCTGTCTCTGTCTTTCTGATGAGCACATGTGCTCTATAACAAAAACTTTTCTGAAAAAAAAAAAATAAGCATAACAGCCAATTTGGAAAAGTGATGTCAAATACAAAACGAAATTATTAAGGAACAATTTCAGACATGCAGACATTGAGAAAACCATCACCTGTGGGCTGGAATTCTACGATCACCAGCGACTAGAATCACATCACATAACTGTTTATGTCTCAGATAGTTTTCCATTTTTTTAAAGGTCTGCTCAGCATGGTTCAGGGCTTGGAAGAATTCATCCGATGAGCATGGCTCCATGGTATGGCAGGAAGACAGCGTCTGACTGCTCCCGGAAGTCCTGGGACGAAAGACACAGGCACTTTTAGATACGGCGATTGCAGTCAAAAGATCTTTCCTATTAAACCCTTTTTAAAACCTTCAGGTACAGTAGAAGAAATCAAATGTCAATATTAACGAAGAACAATTAGCATAAATGCATCATCCGTATCATACATGTAAACACTTTTTCATGATAGTGTGTTTGTGTACACATGCACGTGTACAGAGAGAGGGACGCACTCTCAACAGGGTCTGGTCACCCCACGCCTCCCCCCCTGCTCAGCCCTCCAGGTTGTCAGGATCTTGGGCACGTGGGCGTCTGCTCACTGCATCTCAGGTCAACAGGGCCGGGAATCCAGATGGCACGTGGCCACGTGGCTCCCAGCCTTGTAGCTTGGTTCACTATTAACTGCACCACACAGACTGAGCCCGGAATCCATTTCTGTCTTTCAAATCAATGATGGTTTGGGCTAGCGGGTGGCATGGGAATGAAGGCAGCTGGGTGGTTCCAGTCCCCGGCCTTGCAGCTTGAAAACCACACGGGGTTCACGCGCCTGTGTGCCTGAAATTCCAACAGGAGGATGGAGGAGAAAGGACTAGGTATGGCCATCCACTCTGGGGTGACTTCTCACTTTCTTTCTCTCTTTCTCCTCGGAAGCACACGCACCTTATAGCAAAAACAAAAAACAAAACCAAAACGAACAAAAAACAGTGATGGCTCAAGGATGCATGCGGGAACTTCAAAAACTTTGTGGGAAATGAAATTAAAGTGAGTTTATTTTGGTGCAAAAAAAAACCCCCTGAAATTCATGTACAGTTTTTTTTGGTTTTTTTTTTTTTTTTTTTTTTTTTTTTTAATAATACACATTGGTTAGGAATTTTTTGAAGACTCTTTGCATATGGTATAAACATCGTGAGTGAATGTGACATCTGCTGTTAATAGCTACACATACTCTTTGGAATGTCTTGAGGTCTCTTCCCTGGTAAACCCGACCTCTCTCGTGAAAATGAGTCAAACTGTGTTCCTATTGACAGCCTTATCATCTACCTGGAGGATTCAGCTGGAAGAGGTCTTTCTAGTCTCATCTTTGAAGGCAGGAAGTAAGCGAAACTATTTTGGAGATATAAATTCAAGTCATCCTTTACTTAAAAATGAGTTATTTTCAGGGCCTGCAGGTGGTGTAGTGGTTAAAGTGCTGGATTTTCACATAGCTGGCTTTGGTTTGAGTCCCGGACTAGGCAGCTTAAAAATCGTGCTGGGTATGTGTGTGTGTATGCCCAAAACCTCGAGAAGAGAATGAAGAAGGATTTGTGGCATAGCCATCCCACCTGGGAGGTTATTTTTCACCACCACCCCCAACGCCCCCGCCCCTTTTCAGTGAGCACATGCACCCTAGGCAAAAAAAAACTTAAAAAAAAAAAAAATGCCGTGCCCAAGATCCCGAGAGGAGAATGGAGGAGAAGGGATTGCGGTGTGACCATCCGCCCCTGGGGGGTGATTTCTCGCTTTCTGTCTCTCTGTCTCTCTCTGTCTGTCTGGCGAGCGCACACGCCCTATAGCAAAAACCTCTCCAAAAACAGGAAAAAAAAAAAAAAAAGAACAAAGCCATTAGCCATCCCCCTTTTAAAGAAAGGAACCGATGTCAAAGGAGATTAAGTCATGTGGTTTGCTCCTGGTACACAGGCTGCTTATTGACCAAAACCTAAGTTTCTTTTTCTGGAGGAAATACAGCTAGATGACACATCCCAGTCTCTCTTGTAGGTAGGAGTATTTTTGCATGTTTTTAAGGTTTTTGCTACTGAGCACGAGTGAGACAGAGACAGAAAGAAAGAGAGGGAGAGTGAGAGAGCAAGCCTCCAGGTCCAGGATTTGAACCACGGTCGGCCATATGGATGTCCAGCACCTTAACCACTACACCACACTTTGCCACCCTCGACAACTTATGTTTCTAAAATGACATTTCAAACTTAACTTATTTGCTCACAAGTCTTCAACTGCATTGCATGTTAATTGTCATATTAATTCAGCATGGCAATTAATTCGCTGAGATTTCTGGGCACGGCAATCACTTTCACTGCTTCAAACGAATGATCAAAACAAGCACGGGCTTCTGGTTTGTTTCCTACTGAAAAGCAAAGTCACTGTTCACGAAGGGACATGAAAGAGGAAGGAACGGAGTGACCTGACAGGCTTGCAGAGTACACGGTGTCTTGGCCATTCCTCCTTTTTAGGACACTCCATTCTCCCCCTGGGATTCTGGCCATGCACACACATGCACGTGGTGTGAGTTTCAAGCCTCCGGGTCTAGGACATGAACCGTGGTCAGCCATATGGGAGTCCAGCACCTCCACCACCACGCTACCTGCTGCCCCCTCTCTCTTCTTTATTTGATTTTTTTGGTATGCTAACAGAAAATACGAGGTCACCGGGAAAGTCGTGACATATTTTTCTGTTTTTCTATGCAAAACATGTCACAACTTTCCAGACAACCCAATACATCTAATACCTCGCCTTAGTTTAATTGATATGATACTGACGGTAAATAATATTTCAGACTGTTCATCGGCAAGTCTTGAAGATGCCACCCAAAGGAAAAAGAGGTTCTGGAAAAGGGGGTATAGGTGGAACAGCGTCTGGAAGGGATAGTGCTGACAAGAAGTTACAGGGTCCCAAAGGTGGTGGCAGTGCAGTAAAGGCCAGACACATTCTATGTGAAAAACACAGCAAAAGTATGGAAGCCATGGACAAGTTAAAGTCTGGAATGAGACCCAATGAAGTGGCCACACAATACAGTGAAGATAAAGCCAGGCAAGGGGGCGACTTGGGTTGGATGGCCAGAGGATCCATGGTGGGACCATTTCAAGAAGCAGCATTGGCCTTGGAAGTCAGTGGGATGGATAAACCTGTGTTTACAGACCCACCAGTTAAGACAAAAGTTGGATATCATATTATCATGGTTGAAGGGAGAAAATAAAACCATATGAGAGACTGAAAAAAATGTCAAAGAATTGAATACGATCATTCAAATGTTCTGTAATAGACTTCCACTGTAATGAACTACATATAGATTGTGGGATCTTTCCAGGCTAGAGGGAAACACTGAATTTTTAGCTTATTTCATTCTCTGTGGTATACAATGAATTCATAAGTCAGAAAAACGCTCAAACATAGGAAAAAAGGCCACAGCATCAAGTCACCCACTATTTAGAGGGACTCCAAATAGGCAGCACTGCACAGCTAGGAAGTGGGGAGACTCAGATATGATTCCTTAGTGAGGGGACTTGAAATCTGACTCTTCGAATTTCATAAACTGGAAAAACTTGAAGAGCAACCCTACCTAAGCACTGTTCATTCCCCAGCCTTCACTCCTGTGCTCACAGGCACGTGTGCACGCACACGGACCAATATACTTTTTTATAAACGACTTAGATTCCTTTACTTATTTCGCCAGTATTTGTACTGGGATTTCTAAATAGAATAATTTTTCAAAATAAAAATAAAAAAGTGAGTTTACAAGAATGATATTGGATAGGATTTCGAGTAGGACAAAAGCTGCTTTGAAACCCTCCATGGTTTGGCTCATACTCTCAGTAAGCGATTTACTCCCAGCCACCTGCATCACAGCTTAAGGCGTTCAGAATCCGTGCCTTTGCAAAAGTGCAAATACGATGTCATGAATCTTGACATCTTTTACAAAAACCACACATATACAAATGCAAATTGCACACTGCAAGCTAAAATTTTTTAAGAGTTTTTTTTGCCATAGGGTGTATGCACTAGCCAGAGAGAGACAGAGACAGTGAAGGAGAAAGTGAGAAGTCACTTCCCACGGGAGAAGGTCATGCCGCAATCCCTTCTCCATTCCCCTCCGGGGATTTTGGGCATGCACGCACACATGCCCAGTGTGATTGTCAAGCTGCCAGATCTGGGACTTGAACCTTGGTCGGCCATATGGGAGCCCAGTGCCTTAAGCACTATGCCACCTGCTAGTCCCAGTCTCTAAATTTTTGGATGCATACCCTTTTCAGTTTACTTTTACGCAATACACTTCCTAAAGTGAACCAACTCGGTCATGTGTCTAGGTGGGGTGTGTGTGCACGTGCACCACTATTTTCAGGCCTGGTAGACCTGATGCCCAGGACGGAAAGCCTCACCATCCAGTCCCAAATGGAATAAATATAAAATAAAATGGGAGCAACAAGTAGCATAAAGACAGGCTTCTCTGCTTTCAAAATGTGGGGTTACAACGTCCTTTTCCTAAGCTGATTCTTCAGCTTTGTCCGTGGCTCTGGGAACTAATGACTTCAGTCCTGTTCTGTTTGAACCATCCAGTCAATTTCACACACACACACAGAGTTTTCTGGGGGAAAGGTCACACAGCTTACGTCGGGTCCTTAAGGGAGTCCGTGATGCAGTGTGCACAGTTAGGTGTGATGGGGACACTGCTATCTATCCTCCTCAGAAGTACCTGATAGCCAACCTTCCGTGCCACGTGACCTCTGGAAACAAAACTTGTTTCATGTGGAAACGTGAGGATTTTCATGTAAAATGGAGCCAGAATGAGTAGACTAGCTCAAACAGTGAGACCCAAAGACAACATACAAAAAGCTGAGAAAAAGCAGCTGCACCCGAGGAAAGGTGAGAGTATGTGGGTAATCCATTGTCGGAAGAGAAGAACCCCAATGCTGGCCTTCAAGACGACTGGAAGAATAACAAATCGATTAGCCATGAACTATTGGGGTGTCAGAAAGGTCATGATCCATTTTTACATAAAAAAAAAAAAACACATCATGACTTTTCTGACATCCCAATAGAAAAGTTCAAGGTATCTGTGGTTGAAACCCAGGGCAGCAAGCCGCCAGTTAGATGGGTCAGAACACTGTGGGTAGTAGTAGGGACCAGTAGATGGCATAATGGTAGGTTGCTGGACTCCTACATGATCGACAGCGGTTCGAGTCCCAGACCTGGCAGCTTAAGACTCATGCCGGGCGCGTGTATGTGTATGCCTAAAATCCCAA